TAAAAAATCAAATGAAAATGTGAAAGATGAAACAACATTCAAACTTAAAATTCTCATTTCTCTTTTTTTTTTTAAGAAAAAAGAAAAATTCAAGAACACACCTTTTTTTTTTTACACTTAATAACTAGGATTCGAAGGTTTTTCTCTTTTTTCATTATTTTTTTATTTGGTCAATAAACAAATAATTCAAGAAAACATTTATTTTTACTTGAAAATTTTTTTTGTATGCTTGTTGAATAATGCTAAAAAAATTTCTCATTTTATTCTAAAATATTTTATGAAAATAAAAATTTTGGATAACCACCAAATGAAATGTATAAACTACTTGTCAAAACAAAATTTTCTTTTTTTTTCTTTTTTCAAGAAAATGCTTTTCTTTTATTATCCATTTCTTCTTTTTCAAAATTTTATGCCTATTTGGGTTATTTCTATAAAAAGGTCAGCAACGCTCTATCAAAAGCTAGTTCCCCTAAGGTTCACAATATGCTAAGTGAGGATTTATACGTCTAAAAGATCCTAAATTGTTTCCCACTAGTGTCTACACAGGACTAGTAAGGCACCTTGATCCTCACCCATTATAGGTTACAAAAAGAAAGGGTTCAATTTGGGTATGAGTATTGGATGGGAGTATTTTACTTGCCATTGTAGAGGTTATCATCTCATAAGAGCATAAGTACTCTACTCTCTCCTAAAAGGGACGAAACCCAGGTATAGAGCTCATGCATGATATGAAATGTGTCATCGTATATGTGAGAGAAAATGACATTACAATTTCTATCCTACATGCCCCACAATTTATTAAGAATAACATATACATAAAATAAATAATGAACAAATGACATAATTAAAACGAAATACATGTAAATTTATTATTATTATTTAAAAAATAAAATCAAAATAAAAAAAATTAAAGTTAAATACCAATTAAGACCATTAAATCAAAATTAAGGAAAAACACCTAATTAATTTTTAGCCTAACTCTCTTAAAAAAGTGACATTCTCAGTGGAGTAGCCAAGCTATTGTAATGATTTTTAAGGGTTGCTAGATGAATTTTAAAAAACAAAGGGAATTGACACCAATCTTTTTTGGCTAGATACGATTGGTCACTTATTAAAACTTACCTTTTCAATAAAAATTTTAAAATTAATTAAAACTTTATCAAAAAGATAATTTTTAGGTCTGTAAAATAGTTTGGGTTCGAGAGTCGGTTACATATAGGGAAGGATTAGCATCCCCACAACACTCATTTAAAACGATACCAATTAATAATGTATTATCATTTAATTGTGCTAAATGGTCTTAATTTTGGTATTTCAAATTTAATTTTCCTAATTTTCTTTATTGTAAAACAACATATTTATTTTTTTAGTGTTTTTGTACATTTGAAAAATAAATAAAAATCTTGCATATTGAAGAATTCCTGAAAATATTCCAATATTTTGGCAATATTAATAGGAACTTTCTCACCTAAGGAATTCCTAAGAATCTCTACTTGGAATTTTCAAAAATCCTATCATCAACTGTCCATATTTATCTTCAAAATTAATATATATAATGAATATTGTAAAATAGGATGTCTAAAATAAAAAATAATTATTTCCTATTTCTAAAAAATGAGAAATATTTATCGAAAATTATAGTAACTGTCCCAGTACATTGATGACATTTTAGATAAATTTTCTCATCTAGAGATTTTTAAAAAATCACTACTCGAAATTCTTTAGGATCTCATCCTTGAAATTTTTATTTACTTTTATAATCAGTATAAAAAACTAATACACATGGATTAATTTGTGATGCTATTGCATGAAAGTTTATTTTTAGAAATGAAAAATAAATGAAAAATTTTTCGTATTAAAAATCATTCTAAATATTTCAATTCTTTGACAATATTTTTTTAAAAATTCTCTTACCTAAGGAATTTTCGAGAATCACTACTTTGACTTCTCATAATATTATTATCAAAAATTCTCATCTAATTAATTTTATTATTATTTTTTAAAAGTTATACAATAATATAATTATCTATAAATTTATTTTCTAAAAAATGCATACTCTTATAAATATTTTATATTTTTTCTATCTTTTTCAAAGTAGTGTTCAAATTAAAGAAAAATAAAAATCTTTGTATTGAAAAGATTTTTTAAATATTCAAATACTTTGGTAATAGAAATCTTTTCTCATTAGAAAATTCTCGGAAATCATTACTCGGACTTCTTGGAATCCCATTATCAGAAGATTTTCATTCAATTTTAATCTTGTCACATTAATAAGTTCATAGTAACATAAATATTTTCAAACAACCATTTCCTAAAACAATATGTGTTTAAAAAAATAGAATCACAATTGCAAGTATTAGACTAATTAAATAACAAAATAAAGATTTATATGGGAAAGAAATATACCCAAATAAAACTCTTGAATTTGGACTCAAAGTAAAGCCGATGGTCTAGGTAGAACCAATGGGCTGCTTCTAAGTGAGTGGGTGGTTGGGCCTACTGAAAAGGGGCAAGTTTGATAGTGAACCGAGCTGGGCCACTGGTCACAAAACCCTTTACCTAAGCAGTTTTTCCCAAACTCCTCGCCCTGCAAGGTCCAATCAACCAAAGCTTTTACATAGTCGTAGCCCTTCAACCAAATAGCCCCTCATCAAGCCATACCGCCTTCCTCAATCACAAAGCCACGCACCAATCCCTTAATCACAAAGCCACGTAAGACCCTTGCCCCGACCTAACACGCCATTATTTGCCATGGTGCCTTGGTTCTATAAAGGTGTAGGCGATGGTGTCTTGAACAGAGCTGAAGCGTGGGTCTTGGTGCTAGTGCTAGGGGTGGATGAAGGGCTGAGACTAGGGTCGAGGGTGGCTTCTCCTAGGGGTGAAGGCAGAGATTTGTATGGGTGAAGGCTGAGTTGTTGAGAAGAGTAGAAGGTTGTGCAAAGGCTGGTTTTAGGAATTGTGCTTGTGCATCTATGGAAAAGAGGGGCTTTCTAGGGTGAGAATGGGATGCTAACCTCTTTTTGTGCATGGTGTTTATGAATTTTTATTTGTAAATTTCATAATGGACAAAATTGTAGGGTGTTGTAGGGATTGTGAAAGTTGGGTAATGTGCAGGGTAGTGGCTGTCGGCCACTACCATTTGTTGTTTAGTTCAATTTTTTTTTTTGTAATATAATTTTAATTAATTAATTATTATTATTATTATTTTACAAATTTTCAATTAATTTGATTCATTCTAAATAATAATAATAATAATATCAATAAAATTAAATTAAAAATAATTAATTTAGAACAAATTCGAATAAATTTAATTTAATTTATTGCTTAAATTAACTCAAATAAAAACATATAAATTAAACTTAAAAAATTAAAACAAATTTAAATTAACTCGAATAAAATTAAATGTTTATAACTGTTCATCTAGTAAAATTTTATTAGAAGCCAAAATAGTAACCCCGGTCTAAAAGAATGTCAAAATTTCAAAGTTCATTGAAAAATCATTGAGCCTTCTCTGAATAGGGCATTGACGAAGGACATTACTGAAAGGCTTTAAAGATACAAATACACTTGTCTTTTGGTTCTTTTTAATTTGTTATTGTTGGAGGAAAAGAGAGAAATTGAATCTATGTTTTTAGCATAAGAATACATATACTTACTATTGAGCCGAACATTCAAACGTAAGAATTTTAGATTTTTTTTAATTTAAAATTTGTGCTCAATCGTATAAAATAGATTATATGAGAAAGAAATGTAATTCACAAGTACTTTGGAAACAATTACATAAAAACACAGGGCATTCTGGCACTATAAATTAGAAATTAGACACGATGAAATTCTGGAGACCAAGTAGAGGTATCCATGTGTCAAGTTAAATCTTATTGGATTTTTCTTTTTCTAAAATCAACCCTAATACTGGCTTATTATTAAAATAATAAAATGTTGTTTTTCTAATCTAATAGTTTAATATTTTTAAATATATTTTTAGATTAATATCAAATAAAATAATTTAATTAGGTTGGACTCAATTGAAATTGAATCTAAAAATTTTATGCCAAACCTCAATCTAAATTGAATCAGACCTAAAAACTTGAGCGAACAACTCCATCTCGAACACACCTCTAACAAGAAGCTCCTTCAAAACCATTTAGGCAATTTAGTAATGTCTTCTACTTTTCGCTGAATTGTAAATTTTTGTTAAGGACAACAATGGAGCTCCTTTCGTTTCGAGAAGAGTTTATTTTCACTTTTTTTTTCCCCTCTTTAGGGTGGTGTTGCCTTTAAGTTCTTCCATGGACTTCTATTTTCCGGTTTTTATAAGAAAAATAATGCACAAGCCATCTTCCAAACAGAAAATATGTAAAACAAATTACGAACTTGAACTGCGCAAATTAGATGCATAGCTCCAAGCCCTTTGCATTTAAAGAACGGTGTAACTGACTGCAGAAGAGGGGAAATCTGCCTTGCTAGAAAGATTACTAAACGGTGATCACTAGTTTGAGAGTTGGTGGGTTGAATATAAATCTCTTCCCCCGGAGATTTTTTTTTTTTTTTTTAAATTATTACAATTTTATAAATATTCAATTAAAATAAAAAAATTATGTAAAATTTATCACTTAAAATATTCAATTACAATAAAAAAAAAATTTATGTAAAACTTCACCACTTAAAAACCTAAGCTCTATGATAAAATTTTAATTTATAATTAATTAATTCTAGTACGATAGTTAAAGTGACATTCTCCGGCTCCATTTCCAGCCACAGTTGTCGCGCATTTATCCTTAAATGTCAATATACAGCTATGATCTCATTTGTACAATTAAAAAATTAAATCAATACATCAAATATTAACTCTTACACAATAGAAGTTGATTTCCCATATTGCACAAATATTATAATTTCAATGTTATTTTTCATAAGAGTTTTTAAATTCTACAAATAAAATTATAATATTATCACTTATTTCCATTTATTATATTAATTTTTTTAAATATACCAGAAGTTGGAGCCCTAAATTTTGTATTTGACGTTTTACTTTTTACTTTTTTTTTTCCCCGAAAACAAATATAATTCATTGAGGAGATTTAGATGCAAAGCACCCGTGCCAAACCCAACATTAGTTTGATTTCCGAAAACTTGATACCTCATTCTTTACATCAGTACCTCCACACTAAGTAACCAGCCCATAATCCCAGGTTCAAGCACAGAATTCATACCATTTACTTAATTCTCCATGTTTCAGGCATTACTTTTGGATCCATAAACAGGGCTGCCAACCACATAAGTTGGGTGAACAGCATTCTTCAGTAGTGGAACTCTCTCAGGATCTGTATAATCGTCACTCTCATAATATTGATGCGGCCCGACAGCTTTAACTAGCATTGCCAACAGTATACATAGTCCCTGCAAAAGGAAGAAGGTCAAGCATATGATGACCAAGGCATGCCAAACTTACTCCTCTAACCTAAACAATCCTTTAAATTAGAAATGGAAAAAACTCGAAAGGAGAAATAAGAAAGCAGTCAGAAGGAGGGAGGGAGGCTTTGAAAACAATAGCGTGAAGCTGAAAACAGACCATGAAAATGTAAACTCTCAACTGCGCCTATATGCTTTCAAAGCGTACAATTCCATCTCATTGGCAACTTACCAAGAAGCAATTAGGAAATTGCTTCTAACAACATGGAAATTTGAACAACCCTCAAGTGTGCATAGGCAATTCGATAAAAGCTAAGAGTAGTTTGGGACTAACTCGTTAATTGTCTATGCGTGACATACAGGCCAATCGTAGACATTTCAAATGCAATGCAATAAACAAACAGCATGCATAAACCCTACATCTGAACATACTAATGTCACTGTAGTTAATTACGTGAAATGCACTGAAAAATTCACCATCACTTTCATTCCAAGAGAGCAATATACCTGTACAGACACAACAGACAAGCCTATCCACTTGCAAAATTCGAAGTTTGACCTGATGAAGTCTTTGAACTTATTAAAACTCCCACTTGGATCCACAGGAAAGTCCTGGTATAAATTAAGCAAAGGAACCACCTTAAGTTTAGTAAACATATTTAGTAAGTTGTAACTTCATAAGACATCTAAAAGTTACAAAATTATCAGGTTTGGTGTGCGATATACCTCTTCCCAGTCACGGTTCAGAAATACATCAGTGGTCAACGCAGCCTCCAGCATAAGAAGCAAAAATATGAATGCCATATACTAAATACGTTTAAGATCAACAATAAATTTACCATTCCGTTAACTTGCAATATGAGTGTGTGAAGCAGAACAGCATATTCACTATCATAGTAGGAAAGAACAAAAACAGTAAAACGGGCTACTTAGTAATCATAATATATAAGTAACTATACACCATGAATAAAACACTCCAAAAAGTAATATTGATTTGTAGAAAAAAATTTGAGCAAGATTGATGAGAAGAAGGGGACATTGATATCTAGATTAACTGACTCAAGAAAAAGGATACAAAGTAAAGGCAACAGCCATTTGCAGTTTCAGCAGCAACATGCCCAGAACATGCGATCACACACAAAGTAACACCAAGGCCGAGGAAAGTGTAGATAAACCTGCAATTCATACAAACAAATGTGGTTACTTTTCAGCAGTAAAATCCATTGTGGTCTATCCAAAACAGGAGATAATTAAAAGAAAACTAAAAAATAAAAGCTGAATGACTAGAAGTGTATGTTTATATTTTTTTACATTCCTTCATTTTACCATAAACCAAACAGAAAATGGAAATTCAAAAACAGAGCAAACAACCAAACTTTCATCAAATCAAGTACAAAACACATTCCTTTCTGTTTTCAAAACCCAAAAATTTGCCTTTAAAAATCCCTGCCTTCCCCCTTAACTCCCAAAAAGAGAAACATACCATGGAGCTGGATAATCAGAGCCTTCAAAAGGCAAATCCCCAACTTCTCTTTCCCAAACTCTAATCAACCAAATTACATACAGAATCGTAGCCATACCAACCATTCCTATAATTGAATTAACCAGCTTCAATATTGATTGGATGCAGTTCCTTACCACTCTCACCATTTTGTATGCTCTGTTGAAAAAGGGTTATACCTAATTTCGATCTAATTAATAGTAATCTACAGAATAAACCTGGATAGAAACCTAGATTCCCAAATCCAGGGGCGTAGGCGCGTGAGAACCACGCTAACAAGGAAATTTTGCTGGTACGGGCCTTTCTATGCAGTGGTTTTGAAACAGTTTTTATAGATTCCGGTTTGGGAGGAATGCTAATGAGGAAAATGAGGTAGATAAAAGTAAAATTTCAAGGAATAAAGATTTTTTCCCTTTATTTTTGGAAGATTGTTGTTATTTCTATTCTATGATTGAGACAAAGTAAACCAACTGCTTAGGTGTATTTACCTTCAAACAGCATGTTTATTTTCAATGATTTAACAAACTTTTCCGTTTCTCTAAACAAACCAAAATAAAATAAAATAAAATAAAAAAGGAACAATTTAAGAAATGTTTTTGCCGAAATCATTCTAAATTTTTTTCAAATAAAAAATTTAACTTTTATTGATTTGATAGGAAGAAAAGAATGGGGAAAAATTAATCTAATTATTGAAATAAACATAATGTTGTTATGAATCTCCAAACTATTAAGCTAGGTTAATTATTTGTCAAATTAACTATATTTGGATATTTATATCTCTAAATTTCATGGAAATTACCAATATTATAGGAATATGTTCCACTTAATTTGGTTGGGCCTTGCTTTTTTAATTTATACTAGATCGATGATGCCCTCGTCTGTGGAGGGAATTTTTTTAATATTTATAACTTTTTATTAAATTTATTTTAAAATAAAATTTTAAATTATATTATATGAAATAATTATTTATTTAACTAATTTTTTTATATTTCAATATTAATATAATCACATTTTATTAATTATGAAAATTAATTATTTACAAATTATATAAATAAACATATTTGAAAAATAACTTTATGTTATCTTAAATTAATCTTAATTAAATGGCCTTTTACTCTAAACTAAATTTAATTAGTCAAATATTAAAAATTTTTGTCAAACTTTTTTTTTCATTTTGGTAAAATTTCAAAAAAAAAATTTTTACTTCAAAAATATCTTAAAAAATTCATTCATTTCTTTAAAAAGCTTCATCATCGTATTGACAAAATATTTTATGATATCATTTAAAAATTTTTCTTTTACAATTTAATTAATTATTTTTTATTTTTATAAAAATATATAAATTTTTCCTTATTTTGATATAAACACTTTATTTTGTCTAGAGTTAATTTTATAGGATAATTTTATTTATTTATTGGCATGATTTTTGTTAAAAAAAAAAAAAAAAAAAGAAATTGATTTCGTTTGAAGCCTAATTATTTCAATTGAAAAAGGGAAATATATTGGGTTTATAGTGGATTTGGATTAAAAATCTAAGGTTAAATTTGATTAAAAGATGGAAACTAAGAAAACCTTCTCCTAACGTGAGTTAAATTAAAAGCCTATAAAAAAACCCTGTTACAATTCATGAGGAGCCATTAGAAGGAAGCAAAAAATTAGAAACAATCAGATCAGAAAAAAATTCGTGAAGAGTTTTTGAAGTGGAAAAAAAGTTAAATCACAAACAAACTTCGGGGAAGTGATCGACAAGTAAACAAAGAAAACACAGAGGGGACCAAAACAAACCCATACTCTGTTCTAAGCTTTTTGAACTAAAGGTAGATCCAATCCAGAAATTCGGCAAAGCAGAACATAGCAACAACATCAATCAAGTTCAATTTCCAGGAGTAGATACAATAGAAGCAATTTCCAGAATAACAACACAAACCCAGAAAATACCCTTGATTCCCAGTAAACCCGAAACCAATTTCCAAAAACAGCAGCCCACAAACACAGAAAATCCAACCAAAATTGAACCCAAAATCATAAAAGCAAGCAACAAAGATCAACAATCCAGAAAAGTCAAACAAACCCAAATTACTCTTACCCACATTAACAACCGTAAGCAAACAATCAAGCTACTGTTCGTGCATAAAAAAACCAGAAGAATTGATTGGCGTGGCTTTTGGTTTAGAGACTTTTGGGGTTCTTTAAGCTCTTTTAACTGATAGTGGACAGGAGGATAGGAAGTAGAAAATTTTCTAGTTGCAGGCGACAAAAAGCTCAAGCTGGAATTTGGGCTTCTGGCTTAGGTGTTTCGGTGAAAAATAAAAGGAGGGAAGAATTTAAGCGACAGCGGCGCACAGCAGAGGCAGAGTACAGCGGCAGTAGTAACGGGAGTCACAGTGCTCTGGGTTTTGTTGCAGGTTCTTTAGATTGAATGTTGGAAAGAAGCAAAAAAAATTTGAAAGTCCACCATTTTAAGAGCATTATAACGCGCTGTTTTAGGGGGAATTTTTTGTGCTGAAGACGCGCTTTTGATCTAGCAACCCGCGCTTGTACCTTTGATCAATTTAATTATTTCATTTATTTATATTGATAAGGTAAAAAGTAAATGATTTTTCTTTAATAATAATATTTAGAAATAGATGAAAATTCATCCAACGATTAAATTTTAAAAAAGTTATGAATTTATAATTTTTTTAAGAATTTTTAAGTGAAAAAATTTTTCTTAAATTCATTCAAAGTATCAAAAGATTTAAAAATTGATCTCAATATAAAAATTTTTGTTTATTTCTAATTTGAAAAAATTAAAATTGAAAACAAATTGTGATCATTTTATGATTGATTAAATTATGATTATTTGATTATTATATTTTATTGAATTGTGTATTATGATTATTGTATTTTATTTAATTATGTATATTATTATGTATTTATATATATTTTTTCATAAAATATTTAATAAATCCAATTATAGAGCTTATTCGAGGAAACAAACGTATTACTTGAATACTCTTAAGGTGAATAATATTTTTAGGGGATCGATCAAATTGTTGGAAGAAACCTAAAAATATGTCAAATATTCAAATATTAAAATTAACAAAAATAATAAATAATAAGAATAAGTTAGGATCATGTTAATTAAAGTTAAAGATAATTTAAAATTAATTTGTACGAATTTGTGAGCATTATAGAGGTGTTATAACATTCTCTATATGTAACCGAACTTTTGGACCTAGTTTTGTTTAAAAGATCAAAATTATTCTTTTTAGAGATCCTTAATCAAATTTAGGATATCCTTAGAAAGGATAGATTTATTTAGGTGGTTAATTACACCTAGATAAAAAAATTGTTGGTGACTCTAAGTTTTGTGTCTAATGGGTTAGTTCCAAAACATGCACATTATGACAATTTAGCGATTCTAGTAGGGACTTAAAAGAGTCAAACTAGTTCTTAATCTTAGATTTTTTTTTAAGCCTTATTTTGATGGTTTTAATTTAATTATTTTTTTATTTCTTTATGTTTACTAATTTGTTTATTTATTCTTTTTGTTTTTATCAATTTGTTTGAATAGGAAAATTTGTTAAATTATTTTTATATTCCTTGACACACGCTGCACATGCATTTCATACGTAAGTTCTTTACCTAAGCTTTATCCTTTTTTATAAGGGAGTAAGTACCTATACTCTCCTAAGGTGATAGCCTTCATGTGAGCTAGCAAAAACTCCCACTTAAATTAAACATTTTTCATTTGAAGCCTATAATAGGTGAGGATTGTAGTACCTTACTAATCTGTAATAGATAATGATAGAGGGAACAATTTGGGAACCCCTAGATTATCAAAATATCCTAACCCTACATATAGAATAACCTAAGAAGCCAACCTTAGGTTAGAGCCATATCCATCCATTATTAGTGTATAACCCAAGATTAAGACACATGAAGAAACATTTGTAGTTTCATTTGTATGAATTTTGTGATGAAGTTGAAAGAGTTTTGGTTTATTTAGTCTTTCATGTATGGGAAATATTAACACATTTATTCATCCATGCATTATTGAATTTTTATGTATCTAGCATCTAATGCATGCATTCATCCTTTCATGCATCATAAAATAGTCATGTTAACCTAGGCAGGATTTGTTCATTCATGAATCGTTATGGGGTAAACAGTAACTCATGCATCCATTCATGTAGTCATTCATCAATCCATGCATCATTAAATTATTATGTACATGCATTTATTTATTTATTCATGCATCATTGAATTGTTGTGTATCATATTCAATACATGCATTCATCTATTCATTCACACATGTAGAAGAAGTTAGGATGATTCTTAGCATCTAGTAATATATCATCCTAATTGTGGTAAAAAGGTTCAAGTATAGGTCAATTATCAAAAAATTTCGAGCAGCCTACTTATCACTGTTATAACACTCGCACTCAAGCAAAGCTTATGAAAGAGGAATAAGCTAGCCGAATAAAAAAGGTTGAGAAGGCCTAAATAGAAATCAAGGGGAAGTTATAAAAAATTATGGAGATGCTCAATTGGATGAATAAAGCAAAGGCTATGGAAGAAATTCCCACTTTGCCAAATCACCCATCCAAAAAGGAAAGTAAAACTCACTCTGTGATCTATGAGGAGCAAGAATTTGGAAGTTTCACCCTATATTACCATCACCCATTACATCAAGCTTGGGCAGCAATAGCCTATTATCATCTAGTGCCAATATCAATTTTCCAACTAGCTTTTTAGTTACCTACATATGTGTATGGCCTTACCACTACTCTAGTTGCAAGATTAGACAACCAAGCAAGTGGTTCAAGGAAACCTCAAAATAACCAAGAAAGAGCCCATATTGATCATATCCCCATGCAATATTATTCTCAAAGCTTATTAAAAATCACATGGTAGCTCCTATTCAACTAGAACCGTTAAAGCCACCTTATCCTAATTGCTATATTGCCAATGTCACTTATGATTATCATAATGGGAATGTAGGGCATTCAATAAAAAGTTATCTTGCTTTCAAGCACAATGTACAAAGTTTGATTAGAGTAGGCATTGTGAGTTTTGATAAATCAGATGAGCCGAACGTTAGTAAAAATCCTTTACTTTGACTACACAGCGGCATAATTTTGAAAATGATAAGGATTGTTAGGGTTGTTTGGAGTTGCTTATCTTTTTAGGGTTTTTTTTTAGAGTAATGCTAAGATTTTTTTTTTTTTTATGTATTAGGATTTCATTTTATTTTTTATCATTTTAATAAAAATGGCAAATAGGATGCATTCTCATGACATTTCTTTTTTCATGCGAATCACCATTATATGATTTTATATTCTCATACATTTTTCTATACCCATTATCAGATTTTAAATAATGAATGTTCAGATAATAATGATTATCATATAGGATTCAATTTTGGAAACTCATTCGTATTGATAAACTTGATCTGTGAAGATTAGTTGAGCAAGTTGTGTAAAGAAAGTTCAAAAGCAAATTGTGAAGATTATTTGACCATTTATTGAAAGGAAAATAGAGACGTCTTATAAGCATGTAATTGTTTATGATGAT